TCAAAGCAGAAAGTTACAGAGGGATGGACCCGAGTTGTTTGCAGAGCTCAGATCTGATGAGATCCAAGAGGCAATTACAACCCAAGAGGGAAGAGCTTGGCACCATGTGTTGACAGGGTTGCCATTAAATTATTAAAAGCAGGAGGAGGTGAATGAAGCCAAAGGCTGTACAGAATAATTCTGTTGATTTCAGATATCTGAAAAAGTTTCAGAGAAATGGAAGGCGGTTTTCATAAATGCAGTATAAAAGCCAGTGTGGTGCCTGTCTTCTTTTTAAAGTCTATAAAGCTTTCTCAGAAGGTTTTACTCTTTTATTATTTTTCTTTTAACTAAAGCAGGAACAGTTCAATAACACTGGTGGGAATTCTGGAAAAGAGTTCTACTAAATATTAAATATTTTCATGATATATTTGATAAGATATAACACTATAATCAGAATGAATTTGCAGACTCATAGATTTTAAGAAATCTTACGATGCTATATCATGGCCTTTGAGCTACGTTGGGGGAATTTATAAGTCCATAAAGCATTTTTAAAAGGCATAGTCACTATCTGCAGTGAAGAAGATGGAGCATGAAGAGGGTGTAAAATCTCTGGCGCATTTAATATAAATGAGGGATTAAGGCCTGGAAATACATAGTCCCCAATATTCTTCAACATGGCTAAAATGGTACAAACAAGGACATTTTCAGACTACAGTGAACATCAAAATAGTGAGCACCTTTGGGATCCTATGGTCTGGGCAATTGTGAATGAAGCAGAAAGGACTGTACAAAGAATGGCTACTTGAGAAGAAAAACAAAGAACAAATAATATAAAATCAGAGATCAGAGAAGCATGATTAATCAAAAATATCAGTAAATTAAATAATTAGCAAAATGATTTACCAACAACTGGAAAATAACCTCAACAGTGACCACTACTGTATGAAAAGCCACACAGTATGAATTATTTAATATTTGTTGGCAAATGTTTGTTTTTATTTTTAAATTATGCCTCAAATTATGGTATAGAAAAACATAACATTTAGGACTATTAAATAAATCTGATATTAAATAACTTAATAACTAAATTATACCTAGCACTCATACAGTGACTGTTATTTTTAGATCAGTAAAGAGCTCTGAGTACTCTCTAAACATTAATTAATTGATCTTCCACATTCCCATGTCATTAGTAAGGTTAATTTGAGTTTGGAAACTCAAAGCAGAAAAATGATTTGCCATTTTCCAACCAACTACTTAGAAGCAGAATGTCATGCAAAATTACCTGCATTAATACATTTAGCAACATTTTTATACCTAACCATTTTGCTCTTTGTGCCTTGGGAAGGGGGGAAGAGGAGACTTGCAGTAATATTGACAGATTTCATATTTGAGAGAAAGCTTTATAATACAGAAAATTTGGGTAGAGTTCTATCAAAAGAACATCCATATTGGTTATCCTAAGCATTATATTCCCAAACTATGTTTTTTTCTCAAGTATATTTTATAATTGAATATCGTAAAGACCTTTAGGACTTCACATCACAAAATTATTTGTCCTTCATGTTAACCACTAAAAATCATGTCATAACATTGACTTTTGATAAATACTGACCTGGAAAGGAACATTACAAAGACTCAGACCATCATTATAATGAGATGTTTAAGACAACATCTAGGTCTGAAACAGTATTTAAAGAGATCCACATTATTCTTTTCTTGTTTCTTGTATAATAAGAGGTCTTTCAGAAAAAAAAGCATTGCTAAAATTGGTAAAGGACATAGATAAGCATCGTTTTGATGATACCATAGAAAGGTAAACATTTAATGCTAAATGAGTAACAATAATCCCAAAATCCAATTTCATATTCTTTATGTATTATTAACTTTGGCTCTAGCATGTAAAAACTCTTAATGGAAAATTCATTAAAACATTAAGGATGTAAAGGAATGGAAGACATTTACCTCTCTTTATACACTCAGTCTTTGATATGCTGAAAATACTGATACCTAACTGGTAATAATTGATAAAATTTCATTAAGTCTTTCAAACAGCCTGCTACATCCTCACTCAAAAGAATAAATACACTTAAAAGTTTTATTTCTGTAGAAATGATCATTAGTATACACAAAACTAATCAATTTTTAATACCTTTTTAATATAACTTGTGAGAATTTGTAAGAAAACCAAGAAAAAATTCTGATTTAGGTCAGCTGTGAAACCAAGTACATAATCCCATATATATATACACACACGTATATATGCTTCTTCTGTGTTCTAAAGCAGGTTGTTTGGTTTGTGCTTTTTTTCTCTTTGTTCACCATTCCTACCCTTGCTTTCTTATTTTTTAACAAAAGGAAGCTTTTATTACATCAAGAGGTGCAAAGATGTTTTTTTACCAAAACATGACTGAGCCAGTACTTACATGAGCAAGGAAGTATCAATGAAGGGAAGCCTGGGGCAATAATAATCCCCTTTCAGCCTCACAATAAATTTCAGAGGGTCACTAGAGCTTCAACTACATATACAATATGATTTTTTACATCAGAAATACCTGTAGCCATAGAAATAGCCACATGTGACTGTATATGCTATGAAAGTGAAATAGCATTAAATAAGGAAAAACTGAAACAGCATATGGCCCTGAACTATACAAGCCCAGATTCTGCAGGGCCTGCTTCTGCCAGCTTTGTACTCTTCCTTAGCATTTAACAAAGCAGCACAGCTGAAGACAATATGGGAAGTTTTGGCCACCTGTAGACAACAGTAGTTCTGCCATTGTTTGCTATAAGCACCTAGAATAGCCTTAGGTATTCCTACTTTATTCTGGAGACATCTGAAATAAGTATCAGTAATCTACGGCTTTTCAGGTAATGCTGTACCTTAGAGACTGAAACAATAGAGTTAATGTATTTAATTGTCCCCACTAATGTCAAGCATTGTGGATAATTCTGCTTAAAAAAAGAGAGGGATTTTTAATTACCTTTAACAGAGACTTTTCCTTTATTGTCAAGAAACCTTTCAGATGCTTTTTAAAAAACTGGTAATGAATTAGATACATCATGATTTTATAAATTAGATGAATGCTATGAACGTTATTGTGCATAAAGACTGATCATCTGTTAAAGCCATCCCAAACTATAATTCTTACCATCAGGATTCCAGCTCTCTACATTAGACTATTTAGAAATTATTGCTGCTGATTTTACACATAACAAATTCCATATCCCAATCTAGATTTGTCCAAATGTTTTTGATACAGGAAGATGAGAGGGGACTCTAACAATAAAGAGAGCAGTCAGCTATGAACATTTTCAAATCAGGAGAATCTGAATATTCCTAATTAATGGTATCTCCATGCCTTTCCATAGCTAGAATTTGGTCTTTCTGTTTTTTTAGTGGCAACATAGATAACCATTTTTCACTACATTTGATAGGAATGTGATGAATGGAAGCAAGTATTCTAAAGTGTTATTTATATGTGTACAAATTTGACTTAAGTTTCAGGAATTTAAATAAAAATACACGGTGCAGGGCGAAACTGCACATGTAAAATGAGCCCTATGCTACCCCAGACAGTCTATTTCATATTTTGAACAGTAATTCATACCTGCTGAATTTCCCTTAGCAGGATCCATGGACTGATGGGGTGGAGATGGAATCCTGACAATCAGAACTTCACTAAGGCTTACTTTCCAGAACAGCACTTAGTTGTTTAATTTTCATCCAATATAAATCACACTAGGGGTAAAACAGGCCATTCAACATTTTTCAACTCTAAGAAAGAGTTCAAAAGTTAAATTGAAGAACAGGGTTTTATATAAAAAAAAAAGGCTTTTTCATGAAGCAGTTGATGTGACAGTTGATAAAACATCTCATCTGCTGTAAAGTGGTCATTATTAAAAAGTTTTCACTTGCCAACAACTAACAAAATGTAGTCATCAGAGATATGCTGTTTTTATTCCTTTCAAACAGAAAGCTGTAACACTTATTCTGAAGCTTTGGTTTGAGACGTGCTGAAAAGCTTCTGGTATTTCACTGTGCCCATTATGTAAGTATTTTAGTTTTTTTTGTTATTATTATATGACTTTACTAATTTACATGCAATCAGGGACTCTGGGAAAAAAAAGGTACTTTAGAAAAAAAACCATTCTCAGAGTGAATGAAAATGCTGAATGAACCCATGACAGGCATGTTTTTCTTTACAATAAAATAACATTTTTAACTGTTAACACAATAAAACGGCTGATAGCTATTTGCCCATCTTCAGTGTTGCAATAAAATATTTAATCCCTTTAAAATTCACACCTGCTTTTCAAGTATTTGTCAAACTCTGGCTGAGATACAGAGGAATGTAATCCTTTATGAATGTGTATAGTCAAATGTGTTCTACAAGACTACATGGTCTTTCTGTGTATGGGGTTTCCAGTACATTCACAAAACACACACTGTATATTTCTTACGTGAAATGTTTAGGTTGAGGATAATGCAGACTTTGGAATATATTCCAGACAAGTGATTCTTTCCTTTTCATTAGTGTATGCATCATATAAAGCAATTCCATTGATTTATATTCATTTGAACAGACCAACTTTAAAACTGACAGAAAGGGTTGTTTTCAAAAGACCATTTTTTCACTACGCTGAGTAGCACTGATTGAAAGGTCCCAACAGAAACTTTAGAAGGAATTTTTAAAGTTTTAAAATATAAGAGATTGAGGTTGGAAAAGGCAAAAAAAGTCACAAGATTGTGATGGCATTATTTTAGAATAATAATCTTATTTTAAGATATGAAAATACTGAAACAATCATGCCAGCATAAGAAATAATTATACCATAATTCAGAAGTGCATAATTTATCAAAACAATAGAGCAGTCATGGTTAGATGCAACATAATATTCCTGTATAAGATATAAATACATACTGTACAATCGTTCCTTTTTATAATTATTTTTACATTTAGTCCTCATCCAAATTAAGCTGAGTACTTCTATGTATGAATGGCGTTACGAAATTAACACAACTCACAAAAGATCTTTATTACCGCTACTGCACCACCATGGCATGCAAGTAACTATGTAGTCAACTATAAACAGTAAAATGTCATCATCTTCCTGAAATAAAAAGAACATGAAAAATACAGATATAGTAGTAAACATCAATTATCTTTTTATATCTTTCATATTTACCAAAAGTCTATCATTACATGAGGCATTTATACCTCCGTACCACTCTCCTGTACTAGCATGGTGGCAAATTTGGAGCTGAGAAACTAGACTTTCAACAAGCTTGTACAAAACTAATAGTTCCATATGACACTGTTGTTACCATGTAATGAGTAAATGAAAACATGACACATCTGCTACCTACCCCTTAGCATTCTCTTACTTCTTTGTATATTCATGAATTTAGAGCAACTAAAGAGACTGAGGGCAATTAAAGCTGTTTGCTAGGTTACCTGTTGTGGTGACTGAGCCCCCAGAGATTAATGTCCTATAGAAAGGAAACTCTTTCATCCGCTTTTTGTTGCTGAGTCCTGACTATGTGAGGTTCCATACAGGATGTTGAATCTGAGAACCACTGTTGGAAGCAGCTTGGTTTTCTAAAGACTTTTTTATTTAACTTTTGTTATGCAGGGTAATTCCTTCACTGGTGTGAACGTGAGAATGAAATTCTGCAGCTGGGAGAAAAGGAGTATCCTTACTTTACTATAAAAAAAAAGGGTCAAATTGCTAACGGGGATTCATTTCTTCTGCTTGGAGGTCAGGGCAATAGATAGAAACTAGTGAATTTCAACCTTGAAATGGTAGCAGGTAGAATAACAGCAAGTTAACCTCTCATTAGATTTGCAATCTTGGAGACTTCCTTGGAAAATAAAACAAACTTTATTGCAGAAGAAGCTTTTCCATGCTGAATTAATTTTGTTAATCAGTTAACTGGCCGGGAGGACTCACGTGCTCTTTGTAAAACAGATCATTCAGAATAGACTGTTAAGTACATGAAATCCCACCTATCACTCTACTGAAGCCCAGATACTGTTTCTGAGGCTTTTGCAAGGTAAAGAAAAATAATCATGAAATGCTCAAATCAAGTTTTTATTATGGAATTAACTTTCAAATATCACATGTGGTATTCTTGGGTTATACCTATGCTAAATTCAAAAGCTGCCAACCTATTTCAGGCAACAATAAAAGAACGTCTAAATCCAAATGATCCTCTTTAGTTCCTGCTTGCTGGAAAGAAATCTTAATGCCGATTACAAGGAAAGAAGTGTACAGTTCTCATTGTTACATTAAGCTGCACAAAACAGTCCTATAGTTTCCTGGAATTTGCTTGGTTTTCAATTATACAATTTCCTTCTACATTACAAAACAATGTACAGTTTTCCTAGTTCTGTTCAAGAATATTTCCCTGCTCTGATATGTTTAGGATTAAGAATGCTAGGTATTTTATTTCATACTTTGTTGATCCACTCTTTTTAATAAAGCTCATCAAATATACCTACCGTAAGTTTGTTCTGCTTTGGGGTATAGCAGGCTATGTGACTATAGCAGAGCACAGTACCTCATGTGTTCATTCATAGATTTGCCTCCACAAAAACTGAGGCTGTAGTATAGCTTTCAATGGAAGCCATTTAAAAAGAAAACATTACAGAATATACAAGTGTAGTTTTTGAATTTCAGACACAAGTTCCTTGACGTGTTGAAAGATGATGTTTTCGATTTCTGACTCCTGAACTCTTATCTTTACAGTCCGCAGGCTTCTGTTGTGAAATGTCTATCAGTGCACTTGCGATTGCAAGACCTGTAAGATAAATAAAGCAAAACCAAAATTTAATGCCCAGCTTTCCTGAGAAGAGTTCCACAGCAGTGATGGTTCCTTTCTTGCCAAATATTTTGTACTTTGGAGTTAGAGAACGAGTTTCTAAAATGCTACCTGGTAATAGTGAATAAACAGGGGAAGACAAAAAAAAAAGTGCACTTAAGACACTATACTGGAAATCAGGAGAACTGAGTTCCGTTTAAGTCTCATTGATTTGTTGTGTGATCTTAGCATCACCTCTCTTTAGCACCGTTTTCTTGGTTATGTGGACCAGCAGCAGCCCTCTGACATGGATTTTCTCTTATTAAATGTTTGTGCATTGCCTTTAGAAATGGCTGAAACTGTAAAATTGTACATAAAAGAGAAATGGAGACCACAGTTAAGACAAAACGGTATCCTTGAATATTTCCTTTTGCAATGTATGTGCCTCCCTAATTTGGGAATAATCAAAGGTTTGTATTTACTGTGAACACAAAGATATGAAAATATCTGTCCAGAATGCATTTGGATTTGTAAACAGACAGTGAACCATTATGGTGTTGACTTCGATAAATTCTAAACGTTGTCAACTCACCAAAACTCTCCTCCTTGAGATTCTGTTTAAGTTGTTGATATTTCAAGACCTTTTATAATCTTAACAGGGTATTACAAAGGGCTTAGGAAATGAGTAGATTAAGAATTTACTCTTCTGGTTTCTTGTTACTGCATACTTGCTAGAAATTACTGACTTCTGCTGAAATGCTGTGATTGACAGCACACTTAATACATGGTAGATCTGAATTTCTAAATTCACACAGGTGGTATCACAATGAAATGGATTAGGAGTATTTGCATCATTCATATTTTCTACTGCACCATGGTTGCAATAAAACGATGACACTTATGACTGAAAAATCACATCTATATAAACCTGTAATACAGGTAAAGATGGTGCTGGTTCTCTGTTTTGTCCCATATGTCTCAATCTCTAACAAAAACCAGTACAAAATGAAACTTTTGAAAATACTTTCCACCATGATGAATAGGGAATCACTATTTTTTACCCCAGGCTAATATCAAACTCCATTTGTCTTATTACAGAAGCTCACATTGCAATGGTTTTCATGCATTCCCTCATTATAACATTTATCTACTAAGAAACTCTGTGAAGAATATCTTTCATTTAGAAGAGTTTCTACAGGGTTCTGAGTGTATGATATACTGTCAGATTCGGTTCACGTTTCCAGTATCCTGACAAAAATCTATGTTATTGCACACTGTAACACTACCTTTCATACTTCATGAAAATGTTACAAGAAGTAGTTAATGTGATACAGCTTTTCGAAAAGGCATGGCACTATACCGTAAAATGCTAAGTACAATTATCATTGCTACATTGCAGGATATGTAAGAGCCAAGATTAATTAAGTCATTCTTCTCACATACACATATATTTCCTGCCATAAGCTAGTGATGCCTTAAATTGGACTTTGAGAAATCGAATTTGTGAAATCTTTGATGCACCTTTAAAGTATCAGCAGTATCTGGTATTAGCAAATTCAGGGATAAAAGCTAAATAACATTTTGATGGTTACTTACATGTGATACTGTCTTTAACAGCTAGGCTTAGGGAGTGGGCTAAATGGAATGAATGTTATTAGGGAAACAGATTTTCTATTTTTTATGAGATATTTAATATATACTTTGATGTATGATGCTAACCTCATTTCACGTAACAATTAACAAAAAGGAAGAATGTTTTCCTTCAAATCTAATGCTGCATACTGGGATACAGTGGCATACTCTTGGAATTCCACTAAAATCAGGTCACTATAAAAGATCATTTTTCAAAATGCCACATGAATCGTCTGATGAAATTAATTTATTATATTCTCTATGCCCAGCATAGTTCCTTGCTATCAAAGCAATACAATTAACCAGGGGAACAATTCATTATTTCAGACTGGCAGTCTAAAGGAATTTCATTTACCAAGTCAAGCTGATGCACAGACACTGCAAGCAAGCAGAATTTCCATCAAAATACAACAGAAGATTTGATGAAAATGCTGTGGCTAAAGTATTCATTAAAAGAAAAAAAAACAACCCAAAACATTCCCTTTATTTTACAGGTTTCATATATACACAACAAATGTGAATACATTTCTAGTTATTAAAGTTGGAACTGTAAATCACATAGTGCTCTATATCTGTTACCTCAGTTCATAAGTTAATGCATTTAACTGCCTTCCCCAAATTCTGCCATTTAAATATCCTATCTACCATCCAAACTGGTGTTTTCCAAGCCAGTACATGGTCCCTGATTTGCTTCTGAATCTTGCTTAAAGTGGCAGAAAGGAACAGTGCAATCAGGAAGCATCCCTCATGGAGAATCATTGAGTCACCTCTGATTGACTAATTTCTGGAAATTCAAGCCTAGTTACAGAACCGGACCTATTTTTAAGTTTAGTTTGTTTTGAATGTTATAGAAATAACCTGGCCTAGTTCTATGCAGCTAAAACTAAAACAACCTCTAGCTTGTTTTTAAGGATATGTATGAGAAGATCATTAAGAAGTGAACCCAGTCAAGAACATATGTGGGAAGTATGTATTTGTGGAAGATAATTGCATCCACAATGAGAAAAATACCAGAGAAAGCAATATGAACTTGGTTATCTTTAGGAGAACTATTGTCTTTCCTAATGGAAGTTAAATGGCAATAGTTTATTCTCAGGAAGTAAGTGTCTAATCATAAAATTACTGGTGTGTGAATTTTTTGTCCTTTTTTTTTCTTTTTTTTTACAATAATGCAAAACAATTAATAAGGAGAGGAATAAAATACAGCACATCAAACGAGATTGCCTTGAAAAGCGCATTCCCAATTTATATACAAACAGCACTTTAGTTCTGCATTCAAACAAAAGCATCTGAAAAAGTCATTCATTTTGAGATGCTCTCCTCCCAGTCTCTGTAAAAACAGGCAGTACTATATATTTTAATTTTGCAGCAAAACAGCTTCATTAGGCGTGAAAGGTTAATTGCAGGTTTAAGTGCAGTTCAGGGAACAGTGCACGGGTCTGTAGTGAATAGCACAGTCTACTACAAGAAGGCTGAGTGCTATAAACTGTTTGCCCTGCTGAAATGTTTTACTACCTCATTTACTAACTGTCTTCTTTTACCGCTTGTATTTGTAGTTCTTCTAAACCTTTAATAGCTACAGTTTTATTTCACTGTAATCAGATTTAAATGGAAATACCCATGCTGGGATGTTTAAACATTTTTTTCTCTGATTGTATACAACTACATTTGAACTGATGTAAGGCTACACTATCTCTCAGAGTAGAAAGAACTTACATTGAAAAACTTAGTCTTACATGTTGGCATGCATATTTAAAACCTTTTTTTCCTCCTCTATTGTTCATTTTAATGAGAAATGCATTGAGTTCTTACTATCCCCTTTGTTAAAAGCGAAGAAACAAAGAATGACCTCAGATTCATGGCTAGGCAGGTACCTGGAATTGTTGTTTTTTTTTTTCTCAATTTAAATTTGTATTATTCACAGATAACAGTTGATAGATATCTTCATTTGATTAAATTCCACGTTTTCATTGTTATGCAGAATCAGAACATTCAGAAAGCTGGAGACAATAAAATAACTACAACTCAGGTGGATCAATTAGATTTGTCTGACATTCTAACCAAAAGTATAGACATTGCTTAAGGTGACCTTAAGCAAGTAAAATAAAATGACAGCTGCCATGCCAAGAGACTTAAACAGAAAAGACTGGGTAAAAACTATGCTATTAAAGTACTAGCTTCACCCTTCAGCAGCCAGCAGTCTGTGTGTTACTTCCATTTGTGGATTCTTTAAAGATGTGTTACTGTACATGCTCACCTAATAATGGACAAAGTCCTTTTATCATAAAGGGTCTGTTATTTGAAGTCTTTCCCTTGCAGAAGATGCAATGACCATGAAGATCTGCACAAGTGGATCTAAAGCAGTCTGAAGACATACAAAGTGATGAGAATTACAGACTCTAGTGCCTCATGAAGATGACCATAGCACACACGAAAGCCAGCGAAGACAATTTCATGCTCATCAATAAAACTGCCAGTTATTACACAGGAAATTTTAATAAGTTCTGTCATTTATCATTATTTCAAGTCTATTAAAAATTGTTTTGTAAATACCAAAAGCATATTATGTGCATATAAATGACACTTATATACAAACCCACCTTGTTAATAATGCAGTTTTGTATTATCTATTTCTTAATTTGATGAAGCAGACCACATTCACCATAACCTTTATGCATGCGTACCAGGACTGCATACACTTACTCTTCATAGAAAATATATCTGTCAGCTATAGCATCTATAATGGTGCAGGTACCTAACATTAAAGAACGTTGCTAACAGGTAGGTGCTGATGAGATATTGTGCAAGGAATATGACTATTCAGTTTAGTTGTTTGGTAAAATTTTCAAGAGTCTGGTACTTCCTATATTTTCTCAAAAAAATTTTCTCCAAGTGGACTAACTCATGAGTAGTTTCCATGACTGAAAAGAATGTTGTTTGTCCTCACGGATGAATGCTATAGATCTATGACTTGATATCCAAAAGACACATAAAAATGGAACCAGACAAAATTTGGGATTTAAGAGATTGATCCACAAAACCTTCTCCTATCCATGTACTAACCTGATACCCAAGTGCCTACTTGACAGGAGAAAAGGTAAGAATCAACTGAAGTTCAAGACTGTACATAACTACAGGAACCACTACATCTCTCAACAGAGCTGAGTTCATTTCAAAGTCAGAAAATAGCAAATCCTTCACGTGTGTCTGAGGGTCCTGATCTGGCAGGTGTGCCTAGACAATATCCAGCCAAGAAGAATAAGCATCTTCATAACCTGTCATATTGAATGCTTTTTTATTTGAATTAGATTTTTTTTAAAAAGGACAAGGCTGACAGCACCTCAAAAGCACAAATTCTTTTTATGGGC